ATCATCAATCCAACCGCAGTCTCTCCAACTCGTACCTCTCTTAGGCGTCTGTGGCGCATCACTTGCCCCTCGAGCCTTCTTTACCATCAGTCTGGCAACATCCTCCTCTTCCTCCACATTCTTCACCACCTCTCCTGCTCCCATACATCTTTCACCTTCTCCAACACCGCATCTCTCACTACGGTAAAGCAGCTTACCCAATGCTACCTCCTCCTCCTCCTCCTCCTCCTCCTCACTGAATCTCCCTTGTACTTTCTTCTCTTTGCCTCTTCCAAGTGCGAACTGAAGTAAATCCATCACTTATCTCCTTCTCAATGCTCGCTTCTCGCACACAAATCAATCGCTTCAAACATGTCATGCGCCTTGCATCATGTGACACTGAAGCCTATTGCATGACGATGGCTGACGCACATTTTAACACCTACTCCACCTCCCTTTCCACACTATTCCCACACTCCTCCCTCACCCCCTTATTAATTAACTACTTAATTAAACTATTAATTCCTTCATGCATTCATCCACTCACTCATTCCGCAACTACTTCCTCTCCCAGGGGCAGGCAAAGGCCTCTTCCCAATGCTACGCGGACACATTCGCATCACACGCCCCCAAAACAATAACTCCTCTCCCATCCTCCCATCCCCTTAATGCGGCAGCAAAAGAAACGCCACAATCGACTTCCCTTCTCCCTGTCACCAAATGCTACAAGGCACATTACTCTCACTACACACATGCATGCATGCATGCAATCAAAGTGCGCAAATCGAGTGGTGTGATGCACTACCCTCCACCTCACTAATCCCTTTAATCTACCTTTCCTTCTACAAAATGCCACAACCAAGACCATATAACTCTTAGCAATGGTTCTCTTTTCCATTACACACTTGTCGAAATATCATCACAGGTTAGAAAGGAGGGGACTAAGTGGAAAGTGGATTGCAAAGTGGAGAATTTTTAGACAGTCTTGCGCTGCTCCTCGTGGGACCGTTGCCAGAACACAAAACTGATCATTCCACTGTCCCATGCACCCTTCAACACGCAGTCCTCAAGCGCTTTGCGTTGGTAGCAGTGGTGCCACACTGACAAATCACTGTTGCAATCCGCTTCGGGTGGTGGACCCCGTACTTGCACTCCATTCACACACCGTCGACATCTGAACCTGCAAGGCCAAGGACAGCATGCCTTGAATGCACTCTCGCTGGCTACCAAGGTAGTGCCTGTCATACATCATGTGCGCCCTATCACACACACACATTCTTAATCACGAATGGAAAAGACCAACCTGCGCAGACGAAGAGCATACAAACTTGTGCATACTCACGTCTGCAGACCACCCCAACCATCCGTCAATGTCACAAAGCCTACCGGTAGCAATACCACAAATGTCACCTCCTATGTCCAAGTGCCTGATTGACACCCAGTGTAGCCTCTCCTACAACTTCACACGCTTAAACACATTTTTACTAACGCTTCCACCACCACGTCTGCTCACTGTCTCCATCCTCTTTGAGGGGTGCCAGATAAAAGGAAGCAAGAGAGAGAGAGAGGATTACCTTCCTCTGTCACTCACCTGTCATGAGTGTCCGATTTTGTCTCTGGGTGGTACGTGAAGAGCTCCTTCAGCTCACCCAGGCTGAAATGTCTCTCCACCTCCTCCATTTGATCCACTACGCAACTACTCAGAGCCTTCTTGTGCGCCTGCCTTTGAAGCATCTTCTCCTCTATCGTGCCCGTCTACGCACCGACAGTCAATACCAAAACCATTCACCCACCGAAATGAGGCGGTATATATAACACTGCTTCCTTTGTCCATCCCGCCACACACGGGCCATGGCCTGCGCGTCGTTGGCTGGATTCCAGTCGGGATCAAACATCACCACCCGATTCGCACCAATGAGATTCAGACCGCAGCCGCCCGCCTTGCTGCTCAGCATGAACACCAACTCTGGCGACTGCAGCATCAACATAGGAGGTGACCAGCAACAACAACAACAACTACTACTACTCCTACTCCAACTACTACTCTCATACACTACTTCCAATTGGCAGTTAAGAATGCACCTTCCTCCTCATCCTCCTGCAAAGTCGAAAGAAGCAACATGTTACACAAGAAATCACTCCATACTGGCACTCCACTTCAAACCAATCATTCACACACTCCACTTCACCACTCACCAATTACCGAGAGGCCACATCAACTGACACACTGATAACATGCACATCCCGAGGCGCAACTACCAAACTTGTGCCCACGATACTCACTCAACCAAAGTGGCAATGAGATAAGCTGACGATCACTCTCCCACCACACACACCCATTAAGTGAACCCTCACCTACTAGCATCTATCTCGAGAGCTCTTCAAACATCATCAAAAGGTGGTACAGCACAACCATGCGGAAGATATGCCTTCAAGGCACTACGAGAAGTGAACAGAAAGCAACACCCATCTCCTCATGCCTACGGTCGAGACCTTTTCATGCAACATTTACGCAGCCACCCAAACCTTGTCTCCTCCTGGTGCAGGTCAAAGAGCAGCTTCGACAATCATCAACCAAATCCCACGCAATGCTAAACTGACTTTCGTTTAAAGGACTAACTATTTTCGCACACTACCATGATTAAAAACAACAACAACAACAGCAACAACAACAACAACAACAACAAAAGTACGCCAAACAAAGCATACTTTGTGGTGCAATCATTAGAGGGAAGAAAGACGACACTTGGATTGATGAAGAATGCGGATTTAGTGCAGTAGGTTATTGCAAGAAGGAAACAAGCAACCACCAACCACTAGTCACTAGCCACTAGCCAAAGTGAACTTTCAGCACCGTACCAAATGGGAAACGTACATTTGGATCGTTGAACTTTTCAACTATCCTCGCCCTCCTCCTCATCGACATCGTTCCATCGAGCCGAAAATATCCATACCTTTGTACAAATCAAAAATGAGCACTAGAATCTGCATTCCTCATGAAACCAATGCCAAAAGAAGTGGAAAACACACTTTCTATGCCTGCAGAGACCTTCAAACAGATCCAACGTTTGTGTATAGTTCGAAATGAGCACAACCTTGTCGTTGCAAGTGGCTCGAACGATGGCCAGGAGACAATCAAGCACCTGAAATTTGCCTTACGAGGAAAAGAAGAAGAGGAAGAAGAAGAAGAAGAGTAGAGACATTGCACCTAGACAAAGCCACGTACCTGACATTTCAGGCTGAGCTGGTCTGCCGGATTCGGAACTACTCACGTAGCCACCGGGGAAGAAGCCAAGCATGCCCTCAAAGCCGTCTGTACCGCAGCCTATCTTGTCAAATATTAGATCTGGATCTGGCAAAACAAGCCCATTTAATCCACTCGTCAACGTCCAGTCAGTCTCACACACCCTCCGCACATCTACCACAAAGTCTCCCCTGCATTCCTACCTTCTACAGGCTTCATAGGGAATCTACGCATCATCATCACACAAAACAACACAAAACACAAAGCTTCCCAACTAAATACACCATAATGCACTTCTCTTACTATCAAACTCCAACCTCTATGCACCCTCAGCCTTTCTTCAATCTTGACCACCCTATTAGGGGACACAAAATGTGAACTACCACACACCCCAACTCCACACCAATAAATACAACCAAACCTATCCCTCTTCCCCACACACAGTCGACACTTTAAGCTGTCGGCAGCCGGTGCAAGTCGCCCCATGCAAGCAGCAAGCACTGCCACTCACTGATGCACTCCAGAAAGTGGGAGCAAACCAAGTACTTCTCACCAAAATATTCGAGTGCAAACAACCATCACACACCATAGCTCCCATCAATTGCCTTTCCACCTTCTCCTTCAAATTCACCAACACTCCGCTCCTATCAACAACTTCCACTCACACAGACTCTAGTAATAGAGCAGCCACTTTACACAATCACCAATGCGTAAATCAAACCTTCCATTTGACAACACTATACCTACACTACTACTAAGCAGACTCTACTAAATACACACAATCTCAATGCGACAGACCCGCAAGATAGTCAACTAACGAAGAATGCCAAGCAACAACTCACGATTACACAATTTCTTCAGATGCGTAATTGAGGCCAGACTGCAGACGGGCAGCTTCCTGTTCCCTCCTCCTCCGACTCCACCTCCTCCACGCAACCGGCTCGACACCTCACCAGCCATTCGCTTCGCAACTTCCGCGTACACCTGAGCTTGCGTGGTGGCTAACCGACAACACACCACTTGTTCAACTAACACGCACACACCTTAGCCCAACAGACGCATTACCTTTAACTGGAAGATACTGGGTTAGCAGGGCCTGAGTTCGCCGTATTATGCACCGACTGACAGTACAAAGCAGCTAACGACTCCATTTCACACAATATCATACGCACATTACCTCTCCTAGCCTCTCCTCTCCCACCTTTTTCTCACCATCACTTGCGTCCGCATCTCTCCCACGCAATATAGGCGCCTCGTACTTCTTCCGAAACTCAGCCGCACTCCCCAACAGTCCTACATTAACGAAGTGCACCAGACTAAAGTACTCCAGCAGGTCATTTTGAATCGGAGTACCCGACAGCAGAACTCTTCGCCGACAATTTAGCTCAACCAGTGCCCGATAGGTCTGATTTTCCGAATTCTTCAACCTGTGACCCTTGATCAACAACCCAAGTCTACACAAACACACCAACTCACCTCATCACAGATAATCAGTCCCACCGTACCCCGCTGCAACTCTGCCACATGCAATCGAAACGTTTCGTAAGAGATGATTAAAATTGGCGCACCTACTCGTGGACCCCTCTGAGACATGAACATGGCTATCACGTCTGTAAACTAAAACACTCCACCTACCCAATCTCTCGTCAACATCTTCTTTGCAACCGCAATCAATAGCCAACGGATTCACCCGACCCTGCAACCACTTATTCAACTCATTGGCCCAATTCTTTACCAAACTACTTGGCGTCACAATCACGGCCTTGTCAATCATCGGTTTAGCCTCTGGACTTTGTCGCTTAATTACAAAACACTTCCAATCCTCCTCTGCATCACGAAACCTGCAAAGCCGTACATGCACAACATACCAGAAGAGTCCACACAAGAGTGATGCACTGCAATGTCTTCCCCAGCCCCATCTCATCGGCCATAATGCAACCGTAGTTGTCAGCAATTCGTGCACCAGTAACGCAATCATACATGAACTTAACTCCCTTCAAAAGTATTCTCAATACTATAACTCACCTCCCTCTGATGTGGTCGAAGGTACTTTGAAAGGATTGGATCCACAACAACGTGGACTAACCGTTTGCCTCTAAGATGAATGACAGCACCAGCAGATTCCAAACTTACGCATCACACTTTAGGCTGTCATGTGCCTCCAATTCTGGCGGCTCATAGAGAACAAGGGCATTCGTCTGGAAGGGGTCATGGAGAGCTACTTTTGTCACAGACCGCCTCACACCCAGACACTTGCACCCACATCCGCTGGCTGCACCTTTACCTTGCATCACCATCATCAATATCGACTCACGCACCTTGATAGTTTGCAATCGGAATCTTGAAGGGTTTCGCTAGATTTGACGACTTCATCAATGCTTCCTAAAGCCAACTACACACAACACCAAGAAATACATCAACACCATCCTCACAGTGGCGAGCCTCACTAGACCGGTTAACCACATTAAGCCGCCTCCTGTACTCTGACATGAAAGCACTTGGCGCGTAGGCACAGCCTGAAATGCTGTATTCCAATGCCTTCCTTCGTTTCACCAGTGGCTACAACAGACATCCAAGTAACACAATCAAACATACTTCTTTGTCAACACCGCATCCCACAAACCGACTCCCAACCTGACTCGGAGCGCGACTCCGCCTCTACAATACGAGGTCGGCCACTTTCAACCACTTACCATCGCACCAACCACAAAACAAAACCGCCGCCGCCGCACCACCGCATTCTATCACGGATACGAATAAACATTTTCGATTGAAAACATAAACAAGACTTTGTATTCACATATCCCCAACAATTTGTTAGTACAAAAGCCTTTACTGGGAATAATTGGAGATTGGTTAGGCGGCACTGATTTGGGCGTAAACATGAGGCGCAAAATGTATCACAAGTGAGCCTACATTTTATTCCATTGACAAAAGATGCACTCATGTTATTATCTCGATAAACAGTTGGGCATTGGCAATAAGGGATGAGGTTGCCGAGCCCAGCTTATTTCGATAACAATACGACGAGGCGAACCATATTGCATCGGCTGAAACAACACAGCGTCAACTACTTGTTCCTAAATCCATGCCTCATAGTCTGCCTGTTACACCACAATTATCTCTATCAACACTTGCATTTCTACTCCTTCTTTTAGTGTAGCAACAACATTCGAGAACGCTGGCATATATTCATGCCATGTGTATATATATATATATATATTCATATATTCATATGTTCATGTTAGGCAAACAACAACTTCTCCTCGTCGTCCAAGTAACAGGACAACAAATATAGCTGCAACAACACAACCCACATCACAACATTGTTGCCACATATGCTAAATGAAGGAAAGTAGTGGTGCCATTGCCTTGCACCTATCCTGACAACACTGACCGCAAGTGCCAACGACCAGACTAGTCGAACTAGTCTATACTTTCTTCACACCCACCAACGAGTGGTCGGGAAACATAGGGCAGATGGCGT